CAATCAATCAGGAAAAATCATACGGCCATGATTTTTCCGTTGCTTCACCACAGACATTTATGAAAACTGTACAATTATGATCTTTTACCCACATGAATGTGGGTGAGCATTTTACACAGACATTTCTAAAATATCTGGAAGAATTTCTACTTGATAGAAAAGTTTAAAGATGGAAAGAAGTTTAGAGGGAGTAAGATGGTGTGTGAGGGGTGAAATGTGTTCACCAGAATCGACACTCTCCGGCTTTCTTCAGCTTTTCCTTACAGTACACTTAGGTGATGAAATCGGCTCCTTTACCTGGAGATGTCTCAGGTGAGATTCCGTTTAACGCACCCTTTCAGCGTCTCAGTAGGATGCTGTTACTCGTCCGAAGTAATGGCGAGGCTCTGTTCGACACATATTCACCTCAGTGGAAAATGTTATAATCCCATGGAACTCGGAAGAGCTCTGTTGTCAGGATCATCCCGTCTCTCACAGAACTGGTTGGACTGTGTATCCAGCAGAACTCCAACAGTACTCCATCAGAACTTCAACAGAACCAAGACCTGAGTAGACCAGGAAGTACTGACATTTTAAAGAGCTGTTTCCCGGTTCACTTTTGGGATTTGTTCATTGGTCAGAAACGACCAGACGGGGTGTGTTTTGTGACGTAAGAGGTTAGAGACAGCGAGAATTGTTATGAAACAGATCAGAAATGTTCTCACAGACAGAGAGAGTTTTGTTTTGGCGCTGTTTCAGCAACAGGTGCTAAAACTTCTCTATTTACGTCTGAGAGGATTCTAAAACATGACAGTTTTAACATAACAACTTGTTTTGCGTTTTATTCCAACCTTGGACCAACTTACACTTGCTCATTCAAAAGCAGAAATCAGAAAAGGCATAATTACTCTGTAACAGCTTTGACATGAGAATAAAAATCATTACACAGTTAATAAAATTGATTAGTTCACTGCCACATCTAAAATGGTTTGAACTAAGACACTTTGATTATCAACATTTGTAAAATAGTAATGATAATAAAAAGAGAGTGTTCTTTTCACTTGAATCTTCAAGAAAGAAAGTCTCAGGATGGGTGAACCTGTATTTCTGAGTTCAAATGAATGAAATGACAGTTCCTGTCCCACAAGGTTCTAAAGGTCAAGAGTTTTGACCTTAGACTTAGTTTTTGACATGGGCCTAGTCCACTACACAAATGTTTGATAATCAAAGTGTTTTAGTTCAAACATTTTAGATGTTACAGTGAACTAATCAATTTTATTAACTGTAAAACAGTAACAATGATTTTTTGGTTGCTTATGCAAAGTAGAATTCATGTTAAGGCCTGTTACAGATTTTTATGCATTTTCTGATTTCTGTCTTTGAATGAGCAAGTGTGCATTTTCCAAGGTCAGGAGTCGAAGCAGACATGTGTTGGAACAACTGTCTTGTTTTTACATCCTCTCAGACGTCAACAGAGAAGTTGGCACCTGTTCTCCAAACTCGCCAAAACAAACTCTCTCTGTCTCTGAGAACAGTTTTAATCTGTTCCATAACAATTCTTGCTGTTTTCTGACTTCTAGTAACCTCTTACGTCACAAACCACACCCCTGTCTGGTTGATATTGCCCAATCAGGGACTCCCAAATGGACCGGGAATAAAGCTCTTTAAAATGCCGGTACTTCCTAGTTCTCCAGTTCTGAGAAGTTCGGTGAGGCGCTGAGAAGTTCTGAGATGTTCGCAGTTCAGAATGCAGAGAGTTTGGGAGTTCGTGAATGCAAACGCAGGCGTTCATGGATGCTGCTAAACCAAACAAGCTGAACCAGAGACGATTTTGGGAATTATAACTTCTGTTTGGATAACATCGCACGGCTCTCGAGGTATTTGGCTGTTCTCACTGAGACGCTGAACAGTGGTTGGAAGTGAGACTCCACGCCGGAACTGATCTATCTTCAGAAAAGGTAAAAGTCGACCTTCACTAAAAGTGTACTGTGGGACAAGCTGATTTCCGAAGGAGCGTGCACGTTCTGGTTAAAACAGATAAATTCCCTCACACATCTCTCTGTAAGATAAATCTCAATTTTCCCTCTTTAAACTCTCCTTTCTGCTAGAAAATTGTACAGTTTTCATTAATGTCTGTGGTGAAGCAACGGAAAATCATGGCCGTATGATTTTCCTGGTTGTAAAGCTGATTGATTATGTGGTTATTTTCATATTTTGCCAAATTAATGTAAATGTTTGATGTTAAACTTTGATTCTGTAAATAAATGACCGCATTCATTTTGATGGGTCAAAGATAAATGACGTCTCACGTTTACATTTCATTAAATTCAAAGCACGACATCATCCAGTCCAGAAAGATGAGTGAACCCGTTTAATGTATGAATATATCTCAGGATATGTCATAGTACAGTACGGTCTCCGCCTCCCGGCACGGCTTTGCATCACACATGGAGGGATGGACAAGATGTTTGTCGACTCTATTAAAGCCGTGGAATACATCATGAAAAATATCATTCCAGCGACGGGCGGCAAGGATTTAAACAAATCACAACAAACCACAAGACCGGCCTCCTCCAATGAACAACTTTTAAATTTGTGTTTGACTCAAATAGTTGGCTATGGCTCTATGGTGGCTACATGTATAACATTTTATTTGTATTGGGGGCAAATGTACAGTGTAAATGCTTTGAACTCTTTACCATAAGTTTTGGTATAAAGTGCACACCCTATAATAGGAACATTTTTCTTTTTTAGTGATTCCACAGTGTTAATGCTCTGATTTTATTGCTGTAACATTTTATTTGTAGTGGGGGTAAGTATTGCTTTTTACTTATTATTTTGTTTTAGTATGCAGTGCACACCCTATAATAGGAGCGTATGGGTATCACATATGGGCAGACGGGAGCCCTGATGGTTGGATTGTGTTCTCTAGGTAAGCAATAATGTGTATATTTTCAGTTGATAGTGCTTTTTGCTCTCTCCATATTTGGGTAGGAGTGGGGGTGGGTTTATAAGGGATCTGTCTTTTTTTTTTTTTTTTTACCAGGTATTGGCTTGTGATATTCTGTATTTAATTTATTTCCTGCTGTTCAATTATGACCAACGTTAAGAATGTTGTCCACTCTAGTGGCTGCCCAGTTAAGTGTGTGAGCTGGAATGTAAATCTCTTAATGGCCCAGTAAAATTCTAGAAATTTATGTTGCACCTAAAACACCTGAATACTGATATTGCCTTTTTTTTTTTTTTTTACAGGAGACCCATATGCGTTCTGAAGATAGTGGAAAATTTGTTACAAAATGGTCTGGTCAGTTGTTTCAGTTTAATTTCAAATCAATATCAAGAGGGGTAGCCATTATAGTTGGTAAACAGGTGCAATTTACAGCCTCAAGTGTGCATGCTGCATGCTGAATGGGGAGTGATGGCGCAGAGGTTAGAAGATGGGCCTGTGATCAGAAAGTCGCAGGTTCAACTCCCGGTACCATCAACATCAAAATGTAGATGGAAAAGGTGAAACACCCACACCTGCCTCCACCCTCATTCGCCCCACTCTGGGCCCCTGAGCAAGGCCCTTAACCCCCACCCTAAACAGGTCTCTCTTGAAAATGAGTTCTCGTGACTCAGTGAGACTGCATGTATAAATAAACGGTAAATGGAAATAAAAAAAATGCTGATAATGCTGGGGGGTATGTTGTAGTGGTGGGGAAGATGTATTCACTGCCAGTGATCTTGGTTTTGGTATATGCTTCTAATTGGGATGACTCCACATATTTTAGCAACCTCTTCTCAAATATACCAAATATGTCAACACATAATCATAATTGGTGATGACACAAATTGTGTGCTTTCATCTCTTGACCGTAGTTCGATGGGTAAAACTACTCCGACTAAGTCCGGTCAACTAATCCACTCATTCCTAGAATCATATGGTGTGGCTGATGTATGGCATTTCCATAACCCTACTTCATGATCATACTCATCCTGAAAGGATCCGACTTCATGAGCCTAAAGGAAAAGCCGTCCTGATGGTTGAGAGCAAGTCCGCCTCCTCGACTGGCAACCCGCGGGGTCCCAAACACGGAACAGTTCGGAGGGCACATCTCATTCATATTAATAAATTCCTGTTTCTGCTGCCAAGTCTCCGTCAAAAACAAAAAGTCCAGACTTTTTTCTTTACCAAATCCCCAAGGACAAAAGCTTTATTTGCTATGGAGCGAGCATTCAACAGGGCGATCCGTATTGGTTTTACACGGTCAGCTGCAGGGTCGGTCTGGACTGCTGGACATCGCGGCAGCGAATGAACTCCGTCCACATACCTCTCCTGGCAGAAGATGGTTCGCAGGAACTGGTCACGCAGTGTGGGAAGCCGGGCTCAATGAGTTGGGAAAATTCAGTCAGAGTGCCATAGGGTCGGCGATACACAGGATGGGGAAGGCGCACAGGAGAGGGCTGGTTCTCAGATTGGTACTGGCTGGAGGCAGCGCTCAACCCCAGCAAAACCAGACCTGCTCAGCTATAATGTTTTCCCTTGCTGTTTCGTCATCCTGGTCTGGACACCTGCTCTGGATCCCCGCTTCCTTCTCCGGCCTCTGCGCTTTGCCACCAGCAGTTACTTGGATGATGATGTGGCGCATGCAAAACTTGGAGGGAAAAATTATGCATACCTGGCCCACGTAACGCAGGCATCCTCCATATAATCCCTTATGGAAAATAATGTGTGCCAATCATATTGATTTTGAATAATAGCCAAAACACGGTTGGTTGACAGGATAGATAACGCAAAATAAAATACTAAACATATCACAAGAATGTGAGAGACGAGATGGAACAGAAGTCAAGCCGTACACAGGTGCCGTCTTCCCAGAAGACAATAATTACATATTGATTGATATGTTTTTTCCAAAGCTGCAGATAGGAGATCCAAGTCATGAATCACAATTGAAACATAAGAATGAAGTCTGAATAGAAAAAGATTGTTTAAAAGCTTATGTATAAATAAGCTTAGTAAATGCTGGTGCACTAACCTGACTTCACTCTCTTTAATATGTCCAGCAAGTTCTTCAATAAACTTTTCTCCTTTCATCCAGTAGATGATAGGCCTCCGATTGTCTCCACTGTAGCCAAAAAAGGCCTTGCAATCCAGGCAGAGAGGCATACCTGTGAGGCATGACACAATTTTTTTTTTTACAAAAAAACTATGAAAAACATTAAGAAAATTTACTCCATTCTGTAGACCAAATTCAGACTAAAATCTGAGAAAGAAAAGTGCATTATTTTATAGTAACTGAAGCGTCAAGAAAAAAGTTAAATACAGTTCACTTGTGCAATGGGAAAAATGCAAATAATTAATTTATTCTAATGGGGAATTAACAGAATATAATATAAAAAAATATAATATTACATTGAACCCACATGGTCAACATTAAAGTCAGAAGTAAACCTGAGTTCAGCCAGGTAATGATTGTCTATGATCGAAAATACAGACTTTTTTTGTAATACAGTAGTCCCTCGTTTATCGCAGGGGAACCATACCCTGAATCCCTGCAATAAGTGAAAAATTGCAAAGTAGGAGTACAAGTAGTAAGTAGTAGTTTTATTTAGTATTTATATATATAGACCAAAAACATACATATTAGGCTGCCTTTAGGCCCAGGCCTCCCTTGCATAAGAGATCTGTGATCTCAATGGGATTTGCCTGATTAAATAAAGGTTAAATATATAATATATATATATATATATATATATATATATATATATATATATATATAATATACATATTAAGGCATTTAAAACCTTTCCCACACTCTTGCATCATTCTAAACAATATTTCTAAACTCTAAATCCAGCTCTGGGCTGCACAAAGGTGCAGCAGCTGCTAAATAATTTTAAATTATTTATTTTAAATAAAAATTCCATGCTGATCGTGCAGCTCATCCTTCAAGCAGCTAATTGTGTGTCATGTCCAATCTCACTTTGAAAAAACGCGATAGAGCGAGTCCATGATAAATGAAGCGTGAAGTAGCAAGGGAGTAGGTGAGTCATCCTGATGTAAGTCAGTCATCAAGGTATATAGATCCAAAAAAGTTAAGTCAGGTCATCTGGATAGATTCATCTTGGTTAAAACATTTCATCTTTCATCCAAAAGACTTCATCAGTCTGAGGGTCATGCCCCAAACTCAGTCCTATAAATAGTACCTTCTTAAAGTGGATGAACCAGTTGCTTAAGACCTACAGAACCAGCTTTTCACATGTAAAAGGAATGTCTAACAATATATTGGCTGTAAGAGTTATGGTTTGATTGTGAGGTGTCTCAGAAGGAAGAGTGCGATCAGATCACTCCTATATTTCTCCTTTATAATTCGGACAATTTTTTTGTTCAGATGACATTGTGAAGAGTGTTTTTAACTTGTGATATCTCTGATGTATATAGCAGTAAAAATGTGAAATTTCACGAGTTTGAAACACCAGAACGTCTTCCACGGAGGAAGCTGAGTCGGGGGACTTTGGGGTTGATCCATCCACAACTGTGGCTGAGATTGCCGAGGTAGTTTAAAAGCTCAAAGGTGGCAGGGCTCCAGGAGTGGATGAGATTCACCCTGATTTCCTTAAGGCTCTGGAAGTTGTAGGGCTATCTTGGTTGACATGTCTTTGCAACGTTGCGTGCACATCGGAGGCAGTGCCACTGGATTGGCAGACTGGGGTGGTGGTTCCCCTCTTCAAAAAAGGGGACCAGAGGGTGTGCTCCAATTATAGGGGCATCACTCTCCTTAGCCTCCCTGGTAAGGTCTATTCAGGGGTAGTGGAGAAGTGAGTCCAATCGTTGGTTGAACCTCAGATCAAACAGAAACAATGTGGATTCCGTCCTGGCCGTGGAATACTGGATCAGCTCTTTACCCTCACTAGGGTCCTTGAAGGATCATGGGAGTTTGTCCATCCAGACTACATGTGTTTAGTGGACTTGGAGAAGGCATTTGACTGTGTTCCTCGGGGTACACTGTGGGTGGTACTCCGTGAGTATGGGATTGGGGGCCCATTGTTACGGGCTGTTCAGTCCCTATACAAATGGTGCAAGGGTTTTGTTTGCATTGCCGGTATTAAATCGGACCCCTTCAGGGTGGGAGTTAGACTCCGCCAGGGCTGCCCGTTGTCACGATTCTGTTCATAACTTTTATGGACAGAATTTTTCGGTGCAGCCAGCTGGTGGAGGGTTTCTGGTTCAGTGGCCTCAGGATTCCATCTCTGCTCTTTGCAGATGATGTGGTCCTGTTGGCGTCATTATGCCATGATCTTCAGGTCTCACTGGAGTGGTTCACAGCCAAGTATGAAGCAGCTGTGATGAGAATCAGCACCTCCAAATCTGCGGCCATGGTCCTCAATTGGAAAAGGGTGGATTGCTCTCTTCGGGTCGAGGGTGAGGTTCTGCCTCAAGTGGAGGAGTTCAAGTATCTCAGGGTTTTGCTCATGAGTGAGGGAAGAATGGAGCATGAGAGTGACAGACGGATTGGTGCAGCATCTGCAGTATTGTGGATTCTGTAACAGTCAGTTGTGGTGAAAAGAGAGCTGAGCTGTAAGGCTCTGTTTACTGGTCAGTCTATGTTCCTACCCTCACCTATGGTCACAAGCTCTGGGTAGCGACCGAAAGAATGAGATTGCAGATATAGCGGTTGAAATGAGTTTCCTCATTAGCTGGACTCTCCCTTAAAGATAGGGTGAGAAGAGTGCACTTATAAAAGTTGGTGTGTGTGTGTGTGTGTGGAGGGGGGGGGGCCTGTGGAGCGTCAACATGTAAGACGTGTCCTCGTGGGCTCTCCTGTAATGTGACAGTTTTATCATTTTTTTGCATGATTTTCTTCGACACCAACTATTACTGTTAGCTTTCATGGGACACACGTGACTGACCCACTGTTACAAGCTCTCGGAATCATGGCAAGCCAAGGAAAATCCAACACCGTCAAGGTAGGCCGTGGTAAGCCATGCCAGTTGCCGGAGTCTGAAGCTAACTCTGACCCCAATGCTAGTAACTGCTCGCTGGCACACATGGCGGCAATGCTGGAGGGACTGTGCTCGGACCTTCTGAGTAAATTTTATGAAATGGTAGCTAGAACAGAAGAGAGAGAAGAGAGAGTGAAGAGAGAAATCATGACTGCCTTCGCCTCGCTGGAAGCTAGAGTCACGGCGCATGGCCAGGCTATCATGACCCTTGAACAAATGGCTAATGACCAGAGCGACAAGCTAACTAGCTTGGAAGCTAAAGTCTCCTCGATCACGGGCATGGTGGATGCTGTCAAAGAAATGTGAGGACCTGGAAGGGCACTCCAGACTGAATAATATGCGAGTGATTGGTATCCCCGAGGGATCTGAGGTCACACGACCAACAGACTACATGGCTACTTTGCTGCAGAAGCTACTATGCCTGGAACAAAAGCATGTGTTGGATAAAGTTCACCGGACTCTTAGAGCTAAGCCTGCTGAGGGGGAGCTTCCCTGCCCATTTGGTGTCAGAGTCAAAATGTTTCAGCAATGCAATGAAATCCTGAGGAGGGCTGGCATGTTGGCTCCTCTTCTACATAATGGGAAGAAGATTTCAATTTTTCCAGATTTTACCACTGCGGTTGCAAAAAACACGAGCATCCTTTAGTAAAGTCAAGAAAGAGCTTCACTCCTGGCCAGATGTTAAATTTGGCCTTTTCTACTCAGCCACTTTGCCGATAACTTTACCAAACGGACAGGTTCAACGATTTGAAAAGGCGTCTGATGCCATGGATTTTGTGGAGAAGAGCCTGAAAAAGTAAGAGGTGGCCCCAGACTCTGTTTAAGAACTGGTTTGTAATGGTGGGACTCATGACTGCCTGACTTTTTTGTAGTGGGGCTGGTCCCCCTTTGAGGTTTTGTAATAATACTGTTACATTGTTAAAATGTTGCAAAACAGGTTGCCATAATTGTTCCTTTTAAAGCATGGTTACTCAGTTATAAAAATAATCATTTTATTTAATTTTATTTTACTTTTTCAGTTCTATTATTATTATTATTATTATTATTATTATTATTATTATTATTATTATTATTATTATT